CTTCTCTTTTAAAAAATTAACTGTTCTTTAACCTTTATTCGGATTAAACGTCTGCAGTAGTTCAGGTACCACAAGCTTCTTTGTGTAGGAGTCAAGTCTGGCTCCTGTGAGAGCTGTGGGATAGACCAGTGCAAATAGCAGGTGTGATTCCAGGTGAAGCTGATGTTACCTGGGAAAGATTGAGGCAGGGTGCTGGTCTGTCTCCAGATTAATCTGTTGCCCCAGGGAGAAGCTATATGTCATTTTATGTGAAGGTGTAGGCAGGGGTCAAGTCCTGGGGAAAAAAGTGTGGGAACTCACCCAAGATTCCCGCCTCCCCTCTCCTTCCCCCCCTTAAAAAAATTTTTTTTTTTTAAATTACACTCCTATGCATATAGTGCAGTGCAGGGTGTGTATAATGAATGTAGTGTGTTTGTAGTGAATGCAGAGTATGAATAATAAATGTAGTGTGTTTGTAGTGAGTGCTGTGTGAATAATAATTGTAGTGTATTTGTAATGAGTGCAGAGTGTGTATAATGAATGCAGTGTGTTTTTAGTGAGTGCATAGTGTGTATAATGAATGTAGTGTATTTGTAGTGAGTGCAGTGTGTATAATGAATGTAGTGTATTTGTAGTGAGTGCAGTGTGTATAATAAATGTAGTGTATTTGTAGTGAGTGCAGTGTGTATAATAAATGTAGTGTTTGTAGTGAGTGCAGTGTGTATAGTGAATGCAGTGTTTTTGAAGTGAGTGCAGAGTGTGTATAATGAATGTAGTGTGTTTGTAGTAAGTGCAAATTATGTATAATGAATTTAATGTGTTTGTAGTGAGCGCAGAGTGTGTAGTGTGTTTGTAGTGAATGCAGAGTGTGTATAGTGAATGTAGTGTGTTGTGAGTGCAGAGTGTGTATAGTGAATGCAGAGTGTGTATAGTGAATGTAGTGTGTTTGTAGTGAGTGAAGAGTGTGTATAATGAATGCAGTGTGTGCGTGTGCTGGATGATGTGTGCTCGCTGGATGACGTGTGTGTGCTCACTGGATGATGATGTGTGTGTGAGTGCTGGATGATGGTGTGTGTGTGTGCTGGATGATGTGTGTGTGTGTGTGCTGGATGATGTGTGTGTGCTGGATGATGTGTGTGTGCTGGATGATGTATGTGTGTGTGTGTGTGCTGGATGATGGGTGTGTGTGTGCTGGATGATGTGTGTGTGTGTGTGTGCGTGTGCTGGATGATGTGTGTGTGCTGGATGATGTGTGTGTGAGTGCTGGATGATGTGTGTGTGTGTGCTGGATGATGTGTGTGTGAGTGCTGGATGATGTGTGTGTGTGTGCTGGATGATGATGTGTGTGCTGGATGATGTGTGTGTGTGTGCTGGATGATGTGGTGTGTGTGTGCTGGATGATGGGTGTGTGAGTGAGTGCTGGATGATGTGTGTGTGTGTGTGAGTGCTGGATGATGATGTGTGTGTGTGTGCTGGATGATGTGTGTGTGTGTGCTGGATGATGTGTGTGTGCTGGATGATGTGTGTGTGAGTGCTGGATGATGGGTGTGTGAGTGCTGGATGGTGTGTGTGTGAGTGCTGGATGATGGGTGTGTGAGTGCTGGATGATGGGTGTGTGAGTACTGGATGATGGGTGTGTGAGTACTGGATGATGGGTGTGCGTGTGTGAGTGATGGATGATGTGTGCGTGTGTGAGTGCTGGATGGTGTGTGTGAGTGCTGGATGATGTGTGTGTGAGTGCTGGATGATGTGTGTGTGTGTGTTGGATGATGTGTGTGCGTGTGTTGGATGATGTGTGTGTGTGTGCGTGTGTTGGATGATGTGTGTGTGTGCTTGATGATGGGTGTGTGAGTGCTGGATGATGTGTGTGTGAGTGCTGGATGATGGGTGTGTGAGTGCTGGATGATGGGTGTGTGAGTGAGTGCTGGATGATGGGTGTGTGAGTGCTGGATGATGGGTGTGTGGAGTGCTGGATGATGGGTGTGTGTGTGAGTGCTGGATGATGTGTGTGTGTGAGTGCTGGATGATGGGTGTGTGAGTGCTGGATGATGGGTGTGTGAGTGCTGGATGATGGGTGTGTGTGTGCTGGATGATGGGTGTGTGTGTGTGTGTGCTGGATGATGGGTGTGTGAGTGCTGGATGATGGGTGTGTGAGTGCTGGATGATGTGTGGGGGGGGGGGGATTCTTTTCTTATTTTATGTGTATGTATATTTTTTATTTTATCCCCCCTCCCTGCTTCTTACCTTGTCAGGGAGGGGGGAGATCGCCTGGTGGTCCGGTGGTATGCTGGAGGGAGGCAGCCGCTGCACAGAGGGGCCATCACACGCTGTGTTCCCTCTCCAGCTCTAACTCTCGCGAGACTCGCCTGTGCGGAGCGTTGCCATGGTAACAGCCGCGGGTCTCGCGAGAGTTATAGCTGGAGAAGGAACACAGCGTGTGCTGGCCCCTCTGTGCAGGTAGCAGGGCCGGTCCTGCAGGACAGGTAACGGGAACGGCGTTCCTGCTTTGGAAAAAGTGCAGGAACGCCGTTCCCATGCGTTCCTGCAGGACTCGAGCCCTGGGTGTAGGGGATACCTCACTGGTGTTTAGAGCAAACATCACTTCTGTAGACATACCTGTTGTTTTAACGCCTACTTAAAAGAGACTACGTAAAATAGCCTACTTTCAAGCAAACTGCAGTAAGCACGCTCTATGAGTCAGTAGTAGGTTTATATTGGCAATACAAATCACACACAGGTGGAAATTAAGGGTCACTCCCCCTAATTAGCTCAGCAGCAGCACCCACAAGGAGGGAAATATAAACAGCAAGAAAGGAAAAAAAAAAAAAAGAGGTAAAACGTATTAAATAAAACCAGCAAGGAGAAAATATGGAAAAAAGGGACCTAACAAAGAAATAAAAATATATAAGAAAAGGAGGAGAAGTTACAAAAAATTCAAATAAATAAAAACAGCAAGGATATAATTTTTTTTTTTTAAACAGCAAAGAAATAAAAATATATATAAGAAAAGGGAAAAAGTGTTTAAATTAAAACAGCAAAGAGAAAAAGATAAATAAAAAAGGGGACAAGTTATAAATAAAATCAGCAAAGACGAAAAATATCTATAAAAAAATGGAAAAAAAAATGTAATTAAAAAAAAAAAATGAAACTTGCTTTTTTCACTTGGTATTAACTAATACCAACCACAGTCCACCAGTTCTCCAACAAATTCCAGTGAGCAAGCTCTGTGAGTCAGCAGCGGGTTTATATTGGCAAAACAAAAAAAAAAGAGGGAAAACATTTTAAATAAAACTAGCAAGGAGAAAATATAGAAAAAAAAAAGGGACAAAGTTTAAATAAACCTAGCAAATATATATGTGTGGGTACAGTAAATGAATAAGAGGAAAATTAGAGCTAAACACAAACACAGCAGAAATGTAAATAACAGTCCTGGTCCCAAACGGTAAGAAAATTGAACAGCGGTCTGGTCACTAAAGGGTTAAACTACCCTGCTCTAAGACAGCCCTAGCGTAATTCGAGGGAGCGCTACCCATACGAACTTTTAACTACACTGGAAACGGCAAGCCGTTTTTCCTCCTGGGGTTTGTTTGTTTGGCTCCAGTGTGTTTTATACACTTAACTTTGATCCCCAAGTGCATTCTATACACCTGGAAGGCTAATACCTCAGGGGGCTTCTGTATGCCGTGATAAAAAGGATTCCAATCTAACAATTTCACAATAGGTATAGGTAGCCCTTTTTTCTCCCTCCTGCTATTCAGTGACAGTTGCCTTAGACATCCATCCCTAAATACGCTCCATTGCCAGCAGCTAACACAGAGGGGTCAGATCCTACACATATACCTCCATACCTAGATGCTTGTGGACGTAAGATATTATATGTGTATATATATATATATTTATACATATATTTATAAGTATTTTTTGGTATATATATATATATACTCATTAGTTCATAGTATTCCTAGCTCCCCTTCTTATTATATTTTGGAGCCCCAAACCCTTTGAATACTTTAACTATATACCTGCTATTTCCATTTGCTTTTAGTTCCAAACGTTAGTCATTTGACTATTAATCTACCTGTTTAATTGCTCTCTTACCTACGTATTCAGAATTATTCAGGGATATATAAACTTATATTAGGCTACAGAGATTCTACCTTTTTTAAATCACTTGCACGTTTTTTTGTTTTCTGTTCACACGAGTCCATATACTCTATTAAGTATAAACTAATAAAAAAAATTTAATATATACACTATACTACAATTCTGTGCCTCACGAGTTACATATACCAGTGTGGGTATACCGTTGGAGAGAGTTTAGGAGGAACGGCTTTGTGCCTTCTATTCCTTTCATTCCTCCAAGGTAATTTTTTTCTCTATATACATTCTGGGGTTCATGCCCGTCTGCACCCACATAGTTCTAATTTTTGTACTTTAGGATTTGGTTTGTCCAGATCCCTAAGTCCTCTCTTCTTCTCTTTGTGACTAAGGATGCATTTCCTCACCCAGCCCCTCCATGTGACTGATTCACTCCCCCCGAACTCTTTCATGTGTCCCATTCCCTCCAAGTATCTCATCCCCCCTCCACTCTAGCCCCTCCATGTATCTCTCTCCCCCTCCCCTGCAGACCCTCCATGTGTCTCTCTTAAGCCTCCACTGCAGACACTTTTTTCTATCCTCCCCTCCTCCCCTGCAGTCCCTCCATGTGTCTATCCCCCCATTCCCTGCAGGCCCTTTATGTGTGTTCCCCCCCACCTACCCTGTACATGCTCACCAAAGTCACTGTACCCATCTGACAGGAAGTGCTCTCTCAATGAGTAGTTCCTGTCAGACCGCTCACCACGCTATACACAGTGGCAGGAGGGGAGTAGCACAGTGCTTCCCCTCCTGTCGGTCAGCCTGTGACTGTCACTCTGGGCCCTGTAAATTATGGTGCTCAGGGCAGCTGTCCTTTTAGAATTGCAATAAAGATGTCCCTCTATATCTATTTATCCAATAAGACATAGCATTTTAAACAAGGCCAATGTTTTCTTTATTTAAAGGTTATACAAACTTATTGTAATTATTTTATTGTAAGTTTTAAATGCTTTATATTTGCAGTAAACATTAGAGCCACAAGAGTAACATCCGCACAGGGTTGGTGGATGTAGATGAATCTACTAAATGTGGTATTGGAACAAAAAAAAAACATATATGGAGAGCTGGACGTCATCCTGCTTACTTACATGTCCACATTCCTGGCTCTGCCATTGTGTGATGGAATATTATCACATGGCAGAAAATAATGGTATTAATCTGCTGAATGTCTCTTGTTCTGCTGTTGAGCTTTAAAACATATTACACAATTTTAACTGCAAGAGGAAAGTGTAGACACGTTATGCCATTTCATTCTTTTTATAGTTCTCCAATCCATTATTTCTACAGCCTCATGATGACTTGCAGGCTTGGACACAATAGTGTTTGATATGGAACTGAATTAAGGCTGACTCTGATTCATCTCCTAGAATGTCAACAAACCTGCAGAGGAAGATTTGGGTCAGCATAATGAAAACAAACATGATTTCACGTAAATAACTTAGCACTACAAATATATGCCTAGCGACAGTTACATAAATGTTATATTTTAACATTTCATTGTGAACTGGCCTTCAAGGAGCCAAGAACCCAGATTAGTCCCAGTCTGATCCTGTCTGTTTATAAAAATTGAAAATTGTCAGTAATTTAAAGTTAAAGTAACTTGCCTACTCTTTTTAAGTTATCATTGTGATAGACATTTGTGAATCAAAATATTACAGCTATCACATACTGCCCTCTCTATCTGCTCTTTATTAAACTTGTGCATTCGCTATTCAGCCAAGTTGCATATCTCCATCATACAAGTTTATAACTAATCAATGGTCGAACATGTTTGTTCAATTTGGTATTCAGAGTTCTGCCTATATAAAAATAAAATTAAAAAAAACATGATTGATGGGAAAATGTATGAGTGATGGCTAGGGGACAGCCACTAAAGGTTGAATGAGCCACTCTGGCGAAAAGCGCGCGTCAGGGCTCAGGAGGCTCACTCGCTAAACTCTTGGTGTTAACACCCACTAATAATTCAACTACAGATAGCCGATAACACAAGCTTGGAGTTTACTATCATTCTGGAGATAGATATATGTGAGAGAAGCTTCCTTGTTCATATGTGGTCACACAGCCATTGAATAACTTTGTAACACTTTGGTTACAGTTTAAATCCCTAAATACAGGAGCTGCAGAGGGAGGAGATATAACAGAGTAGGATTTTTTAAGGGGTGCCCTCGAAGGCACATTACAGTCTTTAAGGGAGATATACTTTAGGGACATTATTTCCCTTCTCGCCATAACCTACAAACCGCTATGAACTAGAAATTTATGTACCTTGATCATCTCAAGGATCTTGGTTTTATGTTCCTGCCATCCAATTCCCCTCACTAGAGAGGACTGTTTCTTCCATTTTATTTTTGTTTTTATTTATTATCCTTTATCATTTTGGTTATTTTGCATTTATATATATTTATTTTATCACACTCTTGATATAGATTAAAAGTTAAGTTTTAAATACTCTACCAGTAAGAGATCATTGTTGGTAGATATTTTTCTTTGTTTTATTTAATTTTTTCAAAACTTGTTGTTCACAGTTTAGGGGTTATCCCCCTTTTTGCTATAAGCATGTTTCTTTTTTCATATTAGAGGCTCATTTTCTTTTGGTCTCAATCAATTTATATATGCACACACACACACACACACACACACAGATCAATCAGCCAAAACATTAAAATCACCTGCCTAATATCATATTGTGCTGTGAAAACAGCTCTGGTGCATCGAGGCATGGACTCCACAAAACCTCTGACCATGCCTTGTGGTATCTGGCACCAAGATATTAGTAGAAGATCTTTTAAGTACAGCAAGTTGCAAGGTGGGATCTCCATAAAATGGATTTGTTGTTCAAGCACATCACACAGATGCTAAATTAGATTGAGGTTTGGGGAATATTGAGGCCAAAGCAACACCTTGAACTCTCTGTCATGTTTCTCAAACCATTCCTGATCAATCTTTGCAGTGTGGCAGGGTGAATTATCCTACTTAAAGATGCTAATACCATCAGGGAAAACAATCCACATGCCAGGACCCAAGGTTTCCCAACAAACATTGCTGAGAGCATAACACTATCTTCTCCAGTCTGCCTTCTTCCCATGTTGCCATGTCTTCCCCAGGTAAATGATGCACATGCACCCTGCCATCCACCTGATCTAAAAGAAAGTGTGATTCATCACATCAGGCAACCTTCTTCCATTGCTCCATGGTTTAGTTATGATGCTCATGTCCCCACTGAAGGTGCTTTCACTCTGACCAGTCTGGGGTTACACAGCCCCATATGTGATGCGCTGTGCTTTTTTGACACCTTTTTATCATGGCCAGCATTAACTTTTATAGTAAGTTGAGCTACAATAACTCTGCTGTGTGATTGGACCAGATGGACTAGCCACCCCTCATCATGTGAATCAATGAGCATTGAGAGCCCTGAACCCAGTTCACTGGCAGTCCTTCCTTGCACCACTTTTTTGGGGGAATAAAGTTTTTATTGGTTGCCGGATAGGAAATAATCACATTCTCAAAATAAACCTGTATCCACAGTAATACCCATTTTCTTTTGTTTCTTTTTAAAACAGTCAACATGAGTTATGAAATGAAACAAGGACATATAGGTCTGCAAATAGGTATAAAAAAAATACTGTATAAAGTGCTCTTAAGTAGAATAATATTATGACATGTTCCAAGCAACCATATCCATTAGGATATTTCAAGATACTCTAACCAGTACTGCTGCTTATGCAATCTCAAGTAAGCTAGACCAACCTACAGCAGGGGCTTACTTATGCAATCTCAAGTAAGCTAGACCAACCTTCAGCTCACTCTCTGCATCACCCTCCCAGGCAGTTTGTGTACTCGACTGTGTGTTAGTAAGTGGTTTGAGTTCACCTCCAAGGAAGGCAAGTAATGTACAGGTCTGTTATGTGACTGAAAATCCACTCTCTCCATTATAATTTGTCACTAAAACCCCCCACCTGGGGAAGGTAAGGCTTAAGGTATCCAATGATCATCGTAAGTGAGTCTGTTGTAAAATAAACGTCTCCTGCATCCCCCAGTGCCTCAGTCTAGGAACCCATATGAAAGTAAGACGATCCCTCTTTGCACCACTTTTGGTAGGTACTAACCAATGCATACCAGGGAAACTCCACAAGTCTTGCCACTTTGGGAAAGCTCTGACCCAGCAGTCTAGCCATCACTAATGGGCTTGTAAAAGTGACGCAGATCTTTTTGCTTGCAAATTTGTTCTATCTCCAACACATGAAATTCAAGAACTGACTATTTCTTGCCTCCTAATATATCCCACCCATTGAAAGGTGCCATTGTAATGCTATAATCAGTGTTATTCACTGTCAGTGTCTTTTATGTTCTGGCATAATTTTTTTTCACTGCTCTTAATTTTCTTCCCTCTATTGGTAACTTTTTCCTACTTGAACTGTGAACCAACGTGCAGGAAAATGCATTTATCAATAAGCTGCAAAATATATACGTAATATTTATATTATCTATATACTTTGCACTGCACTGATTGCCTTATTTTCGCTCACCCTTTTGGGTTCATCCCAGTTGTTACCCAAATATTTCAATAGATGATATTTGAACGAATTGAACAGTCAACTGAACAAGTTTGAGGTCCTAAACTAAATTGGATTTTTAAAAGAAAAAAAGTGTTTTGGCTTGGCTAAACCAACTTTTTCCACTATGCACAAGTCTATTGTCTATACATTACCTCTGTTCCAGTTGCGTCAGGAACCTGATGGCTTCATTTTTATCATGTTTAAGGAATTCTTGATACATGTATATAGACTGAAAAAGTCCTATTATTTCTCCAACAGACATTTCAAATACAACAGGTATGTCTGTAACCCTGCAAGAAAATACATGTATTGATAAGGACTGTCATGACCATACAAAGCAATGTCTGGGTTTGGGTACATGATTCTAATCCTGGCATGGAACATTCAAATAGATTTCTGTAGTTTAAATCTTTAAATGGATTGTCAAATATTGCAAGTTAATGTGCAATGAAAATACCTTTCATAAAAAATTGTGAAAAGTATAAGATTATTAAAGTGCATCAGTTCTAGGACATCAATGAAAAGCACAAGCAGAGCTGCCATCTTTGGGATACAGGCAATTGATGGCAAAATCAGTTAATAGGATTGATGAAGCAGTTAAACCTATAGTGCATAATTGGGGTGGGGTGGGGTGGGGTGGGGGTTGGGGGGGGGTTATATAGGCAAAATAAAATCTTTACAGCAACTTGACATGACATGTACTTACCACCTCTTGTCTTTTAATGGTATAGCATTGAAAACCTCTTCATACTGGTGATGCATAAGATTGTTGTTTTTGTAGTTATATTTTGATACTTTGTCCATATACTGCAAAGGGAATAGTTTAGTCAGCTGAGGATGATCTTAAATGTCTGTTTGTGGGACAAAAAAACAACCTACTATCTCACACACATCAAGCACATTAAAATTTTAAAACTATATTCTATTAATTTCACTACAATAGGCCCCACCTCTTTTATAATGGCGTTTAGTGCAGGATCATTATGACCATCCTGTATTTTAAAAGTTGGAACACAAGCATGCACTGCCAGACAGCCATTGGGCTTTAAAACCCGAATTGCTTCATGCACAAATTTCTCCACGTTGAACCAATGAGCAGCAAGTCCTGCATTCACAAGGTCCACAGATGCATCTTCTAGGGGTAAGTTCTCAGCAGCAGCCACCCTACAACAAAATAGATCCATAATGTTCAGGGCCGTCTTTAATATTGATTGGACCATGGGCAAACATTTGCTTGAGCCCCCTGGACTATGTCATCCCCTCCCTGACATGCAATCAAGCCCCCCACCCCAACGCAAAGGAGGACCTAAAGTAGAGAGGGCTTTGGTGCATGAATTATTTTGGGCAAGAGGGGGCAAAAGGTAGATCCCCATCTGTCATGCAACTCCAACAATGCTTTGACATGCAGGGTTGTATAGGGAAATTTTGTGTGTTTGAGTGTTTTTGAGTGTTTTTGTATGGAGTATGTTTGTGTGAATGTCGGGGTGTGTTTGTATGTGGAGATGGCATTTGAGTGCAAGCATGCATTTATGTGTAGTGTTGGTTTATGAATGCACTGGTGTGTTTATATAATTTTGTTGTTTAAAAAAAGAGGTGTGTTTATATGTAGTGTTGAAGTTTGAATGCAGGTGTGTATTTGTGTGTAGTGTTGGCGTTTGAATGCTGAGATGTATGGACATATACACATGCCCTGCCACAAACACACACAAACACACACACACACTGTAATACACATACACACAGAAACACTTGCAGATACACAGATATACACAATCATACAGATGCAGCTATACAGACACATTTACACACACTGATAGACACACACATACAGACACACAACCTGACACATATGCAAACATACAGATGCACACACTGACACACATGCAGATACACTGACAACATACAGACACACAGATACATAACCTGACAAATGCAGATACAAACACTGACACTCATGCAGATACACAGACATCCACACATTGGCTACATACAGATACATGCACAGGTATACACACTGGCACACACACAGATACACACACAAACTGACACACACAAACAGATATACTGACACACACAGACACACTGTGACAGACATACTGACACTGTGACAGACATACTGACACATACACAGACATACTGACTGACACACAGACATACATACATACACACACATACATACTGACACAAACAGACATACATACTGACACACACACAAAATGACACACACACAGATATACATACTGACACACACACACACAGACATACTGACACACACACACAGACATACACACTGACACACACACAGACATACAAACTGACACACACTGACATACTGACACACACACAGACATACTGGCACACACACAGACATACTGACACACACACACACATATTGACACACACACAGACATACTGACACACAGACATACATACTGACACACACACACACACACACACACACACACAGAGCTACATACTGACACACACACAGACATACTGGCACACACACAGACAGACACCCTTCAGTTTCTTACCTTTGCAAGAGGCTTTCTTCCCTGGGGTCCAGTGTGCTGGCTGGGGTGGTTGGGAGTTGGGGATCTGGATCTCCTTGCTCCCCCTCCTCACTGGATCCTGGCTCAGCCTCCCGCGTGGCCCGATGTCTTTGAGGTGGTGAGATTTGCGGACGTCACTTCCTCCCATGGAGCCATTAAAGAAGGGGCCCGGTCGCGCTGTTAAAGGGCCACAGCGCCGACCGGACCCCTGCTGAAACATGCTCACCGGGTGGCCCTAAGTGTATGACCACCCGGTGGGCCCCCTTAGTTTGCTTGCCCCGGTGCAGCCACAATACCAGCACTGCGGGCCCATTAGAGAAATCCTTTTTTTTACATTTTTTTAATACAGGCTGCGGGGTCACAGGGCAGCTGCTTTGGGCCCCCAGGAGTAACTCCATTTGTGCCGCGTTAAAGACAGCAGTTATAATGTCATTCAGTGAACCTAGTGACTGGGGATAAAGTCTTCTTTCTGTTGTACAGTGTGGGTGGTTATATTGATTAATGGATTTTAATTACTTACTGGAAAGTTACATTTTCCAATGGGCAGAATTGTTTGGCTTCCTCAAGCTGAGATTCGCTGATGTCTACACCAATAACATTTTTGAAATGAGCTGCTAGAGGCAATGTATATCTCCCAGTACCACATCCAACATCGACTGCTGTATCATAAGGTTTCCTTTTCTACAGAACAAGAAAAAGGCTTCAATTAATGTTAATTGCGTTCGCTACTGAAAATAATTTAGATGTCTGCACTTTTTTTTTTACGACTGTGAAACGTAAATTGCAATTTAAGTTCAGCAACATTTTACGGTTCATTGTAGATTATGGTGCCATGAGTGTTGCAAACTAGTTTCCTGCCAAACGATTTGGGGGCAGTGTGATAAGTGGAACCTATATTCTGTCCCTTTTGCAACTGCAGTGAGAATTCGGATCATGTTTCCATTATCAGTGCCAATATTGCAAACATTTGTTAACAATGAAAGGCTGTAAGTGCCTCCAGTTCTCTCAGCCTAATATTGCTATCAAAAGGTTGGATATAACACTACAGCCACTTCAAAAATCAGCAGTTTTTATGGCTTTTAATCTACAGCATAAGATGTCAAGTAGAAATAACTCAGATATGTAAAAAGTAAAATAAGATACACCAAATACTATACTGCAGGAGTCAAACATGAGATCAGATGTCATGGTAGATATAAACCAGCACTTTTAGTACTACAAAATTGCTAGAAAATGGGAGTGTTGCCCTGTTCCAAGACTACCTGGTGTTTGAACCAAGAACAGAACTAGATGTACCATTCCAAAAGACCCAACATTTAGCATCTTCCTAACCTAACCAGTTATGATCTTCATTCTGTGCAAATTGATCTTTTAGAGGGCATTATATTATAAAAGCAGAGAACGTGCCATAAATACTATAAATCCCAGTGTTCACGTATGTGATATTTCTACACTTAAGTGTCATTACTCCCCAGCTTCCTCACATGTAGTAACTGAAGTCTGGGGATGGTGACACTGTGGTCGTTGCGTTGGTACTATTGTCTTTCCACTTCTCCATCTCAGTGTTCACAGTCTATCCAAACCACTGCCATTATCTTCCCAGCAATTTCACCTGCATTGTTACTTTTGGGCCCTTCAGAATTAATAACGATGTAACTTGCAAGGCCTTCATTCTCATTTAAAGTGCCTACACTGTTATAAAGTTAATCACTTCTGCTTCTGTAACAGTGTAAAAATCTTGTTCCTGGAATTGTTTTTCGTTCTTTTTTTTTTTTTTTTTACCTCATGCTTTTTGATGGGACAATAAAATGAGTTGACATTGAGGTATTATTGGAAGCACTTTTTACAACAAATTCTGATTTTATGTCACAGGCTTGTATAAATGTATACAATATAAATGTAATGAGGGCATTAATGGATATCTGTGCCTAGTTCCTTTCTACAACTGAAACATCCATTAGTTATAATTACTATTTGTTGACAAAGTCATTGGATGTATTGCAAGCATGTCAAACCATGCGGCCCGCGGCCCGTATGCAGCCAACAAGGACCATCTTTGAGGCCCTGCGAGCCGTGAGTACATACTAGTGTTATAGCAAAGTAGGCATCTGCTTTCCCCATATTGCAGGTGCCTACTCTGCTAAAACTTACGCGGCTGGGGAGGAAGGGACGGTGGATGCAGCGAGGGAGCTAAGTGTTCCTGCTCCTCACTGCTCCCTCGCGCGCGCCCTCTGTAGTGAAGCTGGGCACCGGAATATGACACCATATTCCGGCATCACTAATAAACGCGAAGGAGCAGTGAGGAGGAGGAAGGAGATCACCAGACAGAAGATCCCCACACCAGCTCCCAAAGGTAGGGAACTATAAATTAAATGATGTGAGTGCAAGAATGTGTAAATGTGTGTGTGTGCCTGCCAGTGTGTGTGTGTGTGTCTGTCAGTGAGTGTGTGTCTGTGTGTGTCTGTCAGTGAGTGTGTGTGTGTGTGTGTCTGTGTCAGTGTGTGTGTCTGTCAGTGAGTATGTGTGTATGTCTGTGTGTGTGTGTCTGTCAGTGAGTTTGTGTCTGTGTGTCTGTCAGTGAGTATGTGTGGGTGTCTGTCAGTGAGTATGTGTGTCTGTCAGTGAGTATGTGTGTGTGTCAGTGAGTATGTGTGTGTCTGTCTGTGTGTGTCTGTCAGTAAGGATGTATGCGTGTGTCTGTCTGTCAGTGAGTATGTGTGTGTCTGTCTGTGAGTGTGTGTGTTTCTGTCTGTGAGTGAGTCTGTCTGTGAGTGTGTGTTTGTGTGTGTGTGTTGGTCAGTGTTGCATTGGCTGCTACTGGAGTGGAGTACCTGGAGGTGCATGGAGGCATGTAACGCCATGTGACATCGACCTTCACAGGGTTTCAAGAAGTAGCAGGAGGATCAGATTTGGCACATGGTGGCAGAGGGGGATGCTGTGGTTTAGTAGAGAGAGGGGACTAGGATTTCGTAGAAGGGTGTGCTGTGATTTAGTAGAGGGGAATGTACATAAACCTACGTTTCTATGAAAATTTAAGGTATTTTTTTTTTGCGGCCAACATAAACTTAAACCTTGTTTATGTGGCCCATGCCAGACTTTGAATTTGACATGCTTGATGTATTGTAATATTAATAGAACAAATTCTACCTCAAATTTCTGGTTTTGTAAACCTTACATTAAGTGAGGTCTGGTTACCAAACTATTTTACTGCATCTCGATTTAACAGTCCTTGTGTTACCTGTAAAGTCTAATGATCAGAATTATTGTTCCTTTATAATTAGCCAATCTTCAGAATTTTAAAGTCTGTTTAAATATATATATATATATATAAATATGAGAGAGTAAAGGTATGATTTTCTAGATGCAAGTAAACAATTTGTGAGGTGTGGTCAGGATAAAACAGGATGACACCTGATGATCTATAGCAATACTAGCAATACTAGTGGTTAACTCTGAGTGAATGTGACACTTTAAATGGCTGGCAATTGTATTCCCCAGCACCCACTGCACTGAGTGAAATTATGGCAGGAGAATACTTATTCAAGCAAATCCATTCTGTCTTTACTAGATCATTATGCCACTACTCCTGTACTGTGCAAATAAAATGGAAAATGTATCACAATTGTTAAATATAATACAAAACCAACAAATTAAAATGCTAGATGAAAACTTAAATGCAAAAACTCCATTAAATTGAGGAGCTAGCTACGGAACAAAGCAGACACACATGCTGAGAGCTCCCAAATGAGATCTCAAAATGATTAGGAAAAAAGGGAGAACGGTGTGTAGGAGCTTCTAGTGTGCAAAATAACAAGAGGTGTAACACAAGGTATATCCCCCAACACCCTGTAATCAATAAAGTAAAACCAGAAAAACAGTTACCCACTGTGTCCAGAAAAACAATTACCCTTTGTGGGTGACTGTTTATCGTAAAATGATTAGCCTGACTGCATTAAATTAATCTTCTATTTACCCAAAAGCTGTCCTGACACTATGGGAAAGATCTGCAAGAGCGATACAGCTTCTCCCTCCAAATATATTGGGCACTGCTCACCAAGATATCCCCCGTGCAGGAACATTCTGACCTCGCCTCGGACGAGCGTGAACAAGACTCCTCTGTACTGAGCGATTAGAATCTAGCAAGAACCAACCACTTGCAGATTGTGAATAGGAGTCCAGGAGGACAAACCCTGAAACTCACCTAGACCTTATACCTGCTAGTAAAACTGACATTCGAAACTTGTTGGCCAAGGTAAAGACCTTTCTCAAGGCTGACATTGGGCTGGTTTGAAGTGATATTGGGGTTATGACAGCCCGGTTGTGGGTGCTGGATGATGGTGATAGTACCAGAGGCAAACAGGATGATTATTTGAAAGCTGAGGTAGACAAGCTGAAGCAGGCCAACCACATTATGGAGGGCAAACTTAAACAAAAAAACCCTCTTTACAGAGGTTATGGGTGAAACTATTCAGTGTCTAAAATACAAAGCAGCTCAAACACATAAAGTGGAATACCCTTATTTCCACAATAAATTAACAATATATAGAAATGTACTGTAAAATACACCACCTAGTGGAGCGCTAATACAAATATATGTGATAGAGGGGTTCACTTACCCCAACAATTTTGTGTTGTCTTACATTCAGGAATATGCTTTTAAACATACAATGAAGGGAAAAAAGAGATAAAAAAAAACATATAGTGTAGATGGTTTTGGTGAAAATGAGTGATGAAAGTAAAAAACTGAAACCACACACATGGTCTGGAGCCTATATAATAGTGACTCCATACGTAAGCCTATGTGCTCTTTGGGAAGCATACAAGGGTGGAAGAAGATGTAAGGAACATTAAAAAAGGATATGAAGGACATAACGTGTCACACCACTTTAAAACCTCACACAATAGTAATCCCAAAAGACTCCAATGTATGGGCATACAAAAAGTGGTAGGAAACTGGAGAGGAGGTGACTTTAACAACATTTTGGGCCAAAATGAGATGACATGTCCACAGGTGGTTGAGGCTGATGCATGCTAGCTCGTGATGTCATTACGGCCACCCCCTGATCGGCGCAAGGACCTCCCCCTCAACATGGAAAGGAAGCTACTGCTGCACAACAAGGGCAAAAAAAAAAAATTATACTTCAGGTTGTGGAGGGTGGAAGTGGCAAACAGCACCATTTCCGCCAACCACCTACCGTTTTTTTTTCAAATATCTCTAAACCACCAATGATATGGTTAGTTACAATTAAACAGGAGTGTTAAAATCAAATTAGCAAATGGGAGGAAGTATTGGAACATTTAAATAGCAAGAATTCCCTGAGGCTATATCACATCTAACTGAGGAAGCTCACAGATGAGTGAAACGCGTTTTGGCTGATTTTGACTTTTTTTTTTACTTTTATTTACAATTTTTATACTCCAAATTTCTGGTTTTATATTTACTTTTTATTTGGAATCAATACATTTTCTTTATCTATTGAAGTCCTTGGAGCCTCTGGGAAACTTTACAGGGAAGTGCCATCCCTTCATACTGGCACATCGCTGACCACCCTCAGAGCCAGGATTTTAAGGCTCTCAACTAGGTGAGCATTACATTTTCCACTATATATTATCTGCCTGTTTGCACATATACCACCCATTGGGTCTCTTTCTCCTTTTGTTTACTTGTCGTTGTGGAGGTATATCTCAGAGGAAGGGGTGTGTTGCTGCCCAAAGAGCTTATAGGCTTATGTACGAAGCCAATATTATATAGGCTCCAGGCCATGTGAGTGGTTTCAGTTTTTTACTTTCATCACTCATTTTCACCAAAACCATCTACACTATATGTTTTTTTTTATCTCTTTTTTAAAAGCATATTCCTGAATTTAAGACAACACAAAATTGTTGGGCTAAGTGAATCCCTCTATCACTTGTATTTGTATTAGCGCTCCACTAGGTGGTGTATTTTACACTACATTTCTATAGATTATGAAGGGCAAGCTAGCTGTCTTGGAGGACTCCAAGCTGCAACATAACCTGTGGGTCAATGGTGTCCCTGAAGACGTAGTTGATAATTAGGTAACTCATTACCTTCACAGAATGTTGAGGTCAATGTTTTTTTCCAGCCAAGGCCAAAGCCATGCAACTGGACTACTACCATCATGTCCCTAAATCACCTAAAGACCGTCTGTCTGAGAGAATTGAGAGTCAGATATCATTGGGGACCAGGCTGAAAAGTATCAGGGATACGTGCAGAGAAGTGTATGCAACTCACTTATGTTTCTGAGGCAGAATGTATCTTTTATGCACTGGACTTGCCTATACCAGATACTTTCCTGAGACCTGCACTGAATAATTCATGCGCATCCTCTGCTCCCTCCTGAGCTGGAGATGTGACTACCCACTGACACCTGAGTCCAATTGAAAACAGTGGTGTGCACCTGCCTAATACTCTAATTGCCTTCATGTCATAGATAATTCTGCTAGTCAGTTATTTCTTCTTATGCATATTTTTTTATTTGTGTTCCGTAACTGATTTCTCTCTGTTGCTTTGAGTCAGTGGAATATTGCTTACTAAATTTTAGTTCAGGCTGTATACACCTTGCCATACTTCCTTGCCATACTCTCTTGTGATTCACATACAAACATGCATACCTAGTTTACTTTACCCCCTTAAGGGCCAAACTTCTGGAATAAAAGGGAATCATGACATGTCACACATGTCATGTGTCCTTAAGGGGTTAAAATAGTGCATACAGCCTTACCCATATTTGAGCTAGACAACAACTATTTTACCATTGTTGCATGATATGTATACTCTGCAAATATCTATAATTTACTTTTGACTGCACTTAAAACGTAGCTTGCCACACTTTTATCTGTGTATATAACTATGTATGTGCTACAATAAAAAATATAAATCACAATTGTAAGAAAACATCTACTACACATTGTTGCTTGTAAAAGGTACCTTCTCTTCCATATATGAAAAAATCAGACTCATGATCTCACTGGACACAGGAATCATATACTTCTGGTACACGGATGAGAAACTCTTGCTTTTAAATAAATGATCAGTCATCTGAATGGAATTTGGTAGAGAAGATGGTTCAACTTTTTTTCCCCATTTAGCTCCATAAACACTAAATTATAACCACATATTCTAAAAGGTATGTACGATTGTGGGGCTAAAAGGTAAATGCCCAGATGTCTAAAACTACAATACCTATGTTGTGCTGCCAAAACAGCTCTGATTTATTTAGGCATGGGCTCCATGCCATGGACTTCTCTCAACATGGATGGCAGTTGTATTTTTAAAACATCTGGAGATCTACTGTTTGGTCACCCTTGATGTAAGAGCACTTTAGCCAATACATAGTTCTCAATCTGTTGTTAAAGGACTGCTTCCACACTCCTCAAATGATCCACTAAGTGGAAAAGTAGAATGGTGCTTGGTCACATTGTATGCTTTACAGAACCAGTGTGTGTGTATAAATAACATCACAGGGTTATTTAAGTGGGGATTGTTGGGAATTCAGATTCAAAGTGAATTTCCAATTTCAAACCAAATTAGCCAAGCTGGAAAAATTCTCCAGTTCAGCAATATTTCCATTTAAACTATTTTAGCCTAAAATTTTAAATTCACTTTGAATTCACAATTCTCACTTTATCAAATAACCCTGTAAATGTTAAAAATTATAATCATAAACAAATACGCTATAGTTTTAGGATGGCTCTTTGATACTCACATCTTCAATGTTGAAAATCACAAAGGAAGGTACATACTAGAATTAGAGTGCACCTATAATTAATGATGAATTAACACTTGCTATGTTACTATCTTGATTCTGTTAATATGTGATATTTGTAAATGTTTTTTTGCAACTGTATTTTTAGGAGACACTGACAGACATCACACTTTATTTTAAATAGCTTGCACCATCAGTGTTTCTTTGTCTGTTACTGTTTGCTGCCTTGAGAAACTTTTCATCTCTCCTCTCTTTAGGAAGTTCATTTAAAGGAACTCTATAGCTACCAAAACAAATTTAGCTCAATTAAGCAGTTTTGGTTTATAGATCATGCTCCTGCAGTCTCACTTCTCAATTCTGCCATTGAGGCATTAAATCACTTTGTTTATACAGTCCCAGTCACACCTCCCTGCATGTGAATTACACAGCTTATTTTTATCACTTCCTGTAAACAGAGATCTAATGTTTAAACTTCTGGCTTGTTATCTGAACTTCACTTTATGGGTTTCCCTAAATTCTTACTTCAGTTTCTATTATCAGACCAGACCAGACCAGACAAGCTTAGTGAATTACTCTTTCTCCCATCTCCCCTTCAATCTAGGACTGATTTAGTGTGTTCTACTTAGACTGTTAATTGAATTGTGCCTTTAGGATTCACCTCTCTTTCACAGCTTAAATTGATATTGCCAAACCAGATTGTTTAAAGATTTGAAAACAGGTCACCCAACCACTTAACAGTTAACTGTTGAAGACCTAAATTGTTTCACAGACTTTGTTTAAAGATTCCCTTCTTTTTTTTTTTTTTTATCAATTACTTAGGACTGTCTTCATTACATTTATTGTTACTCTGAAGTGGATATAATTCTCAGCCACCTTATTTCAACTCTAAAGAAACATTATGTCTACTGAAAATTATAATTTACTTACTCTTAATTCTGGATGATTTGCGTTATTTCTGAAAATCTGTTAATAAATAAAGGAAAAAGATAAATTAGTTATAATTAGAGTTGAATGTCCGGGTCCGGCTTTGGGCTCGAACTTGACCCTGAACCCGAACCCCATTGAAGTCAATGGGGACCCGAACTTTTTGCCACAAAAATGACTCTAAAAAACTCCTGGAAAGGGCTAGAGGGCTGCAAAGGGAAGTAAAATGGGGGTAAGAGTAGGACAAGTGCCCTGCAAACAAATGTGCATAGGGAAATCACTTAAAAATAACATAAAATAAGCAACCGCTTATTAGATAACTCCCTAATTCACACGGTATAATGGAGCTATCTACCAAAAGGCTGAAAGACCTAAATTGGTCACATAAATTGGTCTTAATGATTACTTAGTATTAGTAAATTCAGCCCCTACTTGCTATACCGCGAGCAGGGGCGTGTCTAGTAAACAGTGAAAATAAACCTATTGCCCCCACCCCTGTGCGACGGGTGGGGGCCCTAAATAAGAATGTGGAGGGCACCTACTGTCCTCCCCCCGGCCCCCACCCCTGCGCGGTGGGTGGGGGCCATAAATAAGAATTTGGGGGGGGACCTACTGTCCTCCTCCCCGGCCCCCACCCCTGCGTAGCGGGTGCGGGCCCTAAATAACAAGAAGGGGGGGAACTAATGTCCCCCCCCCCACCCCTACCCCTGCACAGCGGGTGGGGGCCCTAAATAACAATAAGGGGGGGACCTAATGTCCTCCCCCTGGCCCGCACCCCTGAGGGGTGGGTGGGGGCCATGAATAAAAATCCCCCCAGGTGACTAGGGGCCCCCAAACCCTCCCCCCCAAAAAATTACCCCTACCTACCCTCTCATCCTAAAAATAACGAGGGGGGACCTTTGTCTAATTACCTGTAAAAAATTACCATTTGATGTCTTCTTTCTTCTAAAATCTTCTTTTTTCAGCCCCAATAAAGGCCAAATAAAATCCAGAATAACCGTTGCACATGTTACTTAATCCACCAATCAGAGTGCTCTGTGTCATTTTATACAGCGTGGGAAAATTCCAAAGAACTTTCCCACGCTATGTAAAATGACACAGAGCACGCTGATTGGTGGATTTCAAGCCAACCAATCAGAGTGCTGTGCCAGGTAAATGTAGAGACTTACCTGTCAGTCTCTTCATTTACCTGTCATAGCATTCTGATTGGATGGCTTAAAACCTACCAATCAGAGTGCTCTGAGCCTAATTGCAGGACGGGGCAAGGCTTTATAAGCCTGCTCACGCCCTGCAGAGCTCAGTCTGCGTGGAGCCCACCATGAGTGAAGAAGGCTTATTTTTTTTTTTGCACTCTTTTTTTTTTTTTAAAGTGCGTCGGTTATTCTGGATTTTTATTTGGCCTTTTATGGGGCTGGAAAAAGAAGATTTTAGAAGAAAGAAGACATCAAATGGTAAGTCTTTTTTTTTTTTTTTGAGGTATTTATACAAGGGTCCCCCCATAGGATGAGGGAGGGGGTCACTAGGGGTTTGGGGACCCCTAGTCACCCCTAGTCACCTGGGGGAGGGATTTTTATTTATGGCCCCCACCCACCGCTCATGGGCTGGGGGGGGAGGACATTAGGTCCCCCTCCCTTATTGTTATTTAAGGCCCCCACCCACCACGCAGGGGTGGGGGCCAGGGGGAGGACATCCCTTATTGTTATTTAAGGCCCCCACCCACCGCGCTGGGGTGGGAGCCGGGGGGGTGGACACTAGGGCCCCCACCCGCCGTGCAGGGGTGGGGGCAGGGGGAGGACATTAGGTCCCCACAATTTTTATTTATGGCCCCCACCCACCGCTCATGGGTGGGGGCCAGGGGGAGGACATTAGGTCCACCCCCAATTTTTATATATGGCCCCCACCCACCGCTCAGGGGTGGGGGCCGGGGGGAGGACAATAGGTCCCCCCCTTATTGTTATTTCGGGTTCCCACCCACCACACAGGGCTGGGGGACGGGGGGTAGGACAGTAGGTGTCCCCCCTTATTGTTATTTAGGGCCTCCACCCATTGCTCAGGGGGGGGTACAATAGGTCCCCACCTTATTGGTATTAAGGTTTTGTTTTTTTAACAGTGAGCAGCCACAGGCTGCTCACTGTTTAATAGACATGCCCCTACTAGCTGGGTCACATGCTGCACTGGCCAATCCCAGCCATGCCATTAGTAGGCATGGCTGTGATGACTTCTAAGGGCACACAAGTCAAATGCTTGTTGATTGGCTGCCCTGCAGCCTTTCAAAACCCGTCATTAAATTGCTGAACTCCGAACTCCAACCCGAACATATAGTGATGGGTCCGGGGTCCAAAAAACGTAATGTTCGATACGAACCCGAACTTTTCAGTTCGAGTTCGCTCAACTCTAGTTATAATCCTTTGATTTATATTTATAAATAAAAGGGGGGGAAGGAAAGCATAACAGAATTGTCTTAATGCAAAACAAATCAACGTTGGGCATAAAAAAAAATTAGAAAAAGATAATGCCTACACTTACAAAACATAGTTGATGCATGTTGCAATACAGCCGTGAAGTATTTAATAATGACCAAGTGCAAAGGTTATCCACACACATCACTATAAACAACCTATCAAATGTTTTTCAGACTACAGAGAATGACTGTGTTTGCCAGTATACTATAAGCAAGTCCTCAAGGAAAACTGAGTTAGTCCTTGAAATTGCAAATTTGATTCAGGATAATTCAGCATTTGAATAAAAATATATTTTAGAATATTATTTATATTTATAATTTAACCCCTTAAGGACCAAACTTCTGGAATAAAAGGGAATCATGACATGTCACACATGTCATGTGTCCTTAAGGGGTTAAACAAAGGTATTGCAATGAGGTATTTGTCAAAATACCCATCCCCCTTCCAAAATCTCTCAATTTAACTCTACTCTTTTAGGAGAGAGAAGATCTGCTCAGTGGACTAAATTTCTTAGACTGCTTTGTTACATGTGAGACATCATCAAATGCATTACTAGCCTCAACAAGCATTTTAATATTTTCTTCCAATTCATTGTTTTGGTGCAAAAAGTGATTTGCCTTGGGTTAAATAACAGGGTGTGCCAAAATGTCATATTAACCAAGAAGGACCCATTGACCCAAGGCCCCTACAACCATAAAACATCTGTATGCAAACCTTAACACTACATCAAAGTACCAAAATTATGTGACTCATAAATGCAAGCCATCAAATAAGAAACAGCAGTGCACGAAACAGCAAAAGATTCTGGCTTACCTTTGTGATCTTGGTGGAAGAGTAATCTCAACAAAGCAAGTCTGTTGCTTTATGTG